TCAAGTTCAAGAACTTAAACCGTGTAAACACAGGGCTAAAGAGAATAGAAGGGCTAGTTCACTCCGCTCTTAGAGCTGAAGCTACGATTTCCCTCCTCATGAGGTCACTGTGTCCACAGATCTCGGAAGATCTCACGCAAAGATATTATGATAACTTTGCATCTTTCTCTTTGTAAAAATAAGTTAGACTTTTTCTGGTTATTAGCTTTCAAACTTTACGTGATTAACACATTATTTCCATTCATAAACATAGTTTAAAAAAACTTTCTTGGCCATTATATTAAAAAAATACCATTTTAAACTTATAAAAATATTTTACTAGTTGGCGAAAATGACACTATAAATACTTTATTTTAAAAAGTTCAGTTTTAACTTCAATTATTAAGAAAAATGAGAGAATATATCGACACTTTTTTATCTACATATTCTTTTATAACAATAAGTTGAGTTCAATTTAGAATCCCCGATTTTAAAATATGCCGTTAATAGCAATTTGTTCATACTTAATCATTAGGAAACATCAACCTTAAACGCTAATTACTGAAACAAAATAATAATTTAGTTTCATAATGACATTAGTAATTTTACAATTGCTTATTGATATTTAAATTTAAGATATAATTTATAGATATTTAAATTCAAGAGAATATAATTTTTAAAAGAATCATAAATATTTAGAATAACTACATTAAAAAAATAAGTTATGAAATTAGGAGAATTTCAACTTTACACTATATATTTTCTTTATACTTTTTACTTACGTTTTAATTTTCCTTGACTTCATTCATTTTTTAATTTTTTTCACATGCCTTTCTTTTTGAAGTAATGAGGCGGTTTCTATTTAGATAACGAATTTTTATAAAAGTTCTTAACGATAGAAAAAACGTATTGCTGTTTTATACTAACTGTGTCATTTCGGAATGCATTATTTACATAGTTGTTCATTTACTTTAGGGAACACGCGGAAATATATTTTTTCCTTTTGTTTTTCTATCAGAATTTTTGCAAGTTGCAATCGCGCAAACTGGCATTTCGCTAATAGTTTTAAAATTTCGTAAATTCACGGCAAAAACTGAGGAAAGTCATTATAGTAAATAACAAATGTCTTAGAATATGTCACAAAAAGAAATGCTCCAATATTAGTTAGAGCTAGTAAGGCCAAACGCTCCGTTCTTGAAGTAAAAGTGCGAGCTTTGCGCCAAAGTGACATCACTAGAGAAAATCGGAGGATTGGCGCGGCGAGAGTTACTTCAAAGGAGTGAACCAGCCCTTCTATTCTCTTTAGCCCTGGTGTAAACAGGCCTTTATATTTATTGTAAAGTGATTTATAAATAAAGAGGAATACAGAATTGTTGCAAGCAAATGTAACAGCTGAGATAGTTTTGTGGATGTCACATTTGAAAATGAAGTCTCTTGTGCATTTTCCAAACATAAAAAAAGGATAGGTGACAGTGAAATTGACTTATCAATATTTGTCATAAACCTCCAATTGCTTTAAGATCAAATTGAAAAGCGCTTTGAACAATTTAATATCATCGAGATTTTGATCACCTTTTATGTAAATCCTTTTACTAACCAAATAAACGTAATCGTAATAGCAACAACATACATTTCAGAATTTCTTCAAGTAAGGTGAGAAGAAGTGGAGATAGACATTTTGGATCCGCAGAATGACATTGTCCTCAAAACTATTATATCAGATGAGGAATTCTGGAATATAGTTGGCAAAAATAAATTCCATTCTTAAAAAGAGCAGCATATAAAATAGTCGTTTTTTGGTTCACATACTTGTGTGAATCATTGCTTTCGGCAGTAAATATCATAAAATCAAAATGTAGATCCCGACTTACAGATGAACACCTTAATGATTGCTTGTGAGCAGGAATTTCATCATATTCTCCCAATTATGAAGCGCTGGCCAGTGAAATGCAATGCCAAAGATCACATTGACTATATCTAATATATATAATTCTCTTACGTGGCTCCCAAATTTTGGCTGCATTTCTTTTCCGCCGGTGGCAACAGTTTTCATTTTTAAAGAAGTACTTTGTACAACTAAATAAGATTCTTTTCACAACACTTAAATATTTACTTTATTTTCTTAATATATACAGAGAACAGTCGGCAAAGAATTCTGTTAGGTTAAAAAACATTTCGCTAAAAAAATAACGAATTCTAAAAGAAATAAAAATAAACATCTTAAAAAATAAAAATGCTGTTCCCAGCCATGGAATTTTTTGAAAGTTAACTTAGCAACATAAATCAAAATGACATTGTAGCGCAACTAGATCAAAATCATGATACTTGAGCGCTTGACGTAACAAATCCTTCAATTCTATAAGTGTTGTATCGCCAAATGCCCAGATAATATTGAAATGTACAGGTTTAGAATTTTCTACGGTGAAAAGTTATCGGAACTTCAGTATTCAAAAGCTAGACGTTAAGAACGTATCCAATGAACGAGCAAAGGGAGCATTGGATTGCGAAGCGATCCGAAATGAACTGCGAAAGCAGTTCCGGGGGTTGGCGAGCGCCAGCGAGCAGGGGGCGAAGCCTCCTAGTTTTATATATTTTATGAATAATTTTAATACTTCGCATGTTTTAAATAGTAGTAGTTTAATTATGTCGCACTAGAGCTGCACAATGGGCTATTGGTGACGGTCTGGGAAACATTCCTGAGTATGATCCGAAGACATGCCATCTCAATTTTGATCCTCTGCAGAGGGGATGGCGCCTCCGCTTCGGTAACCCGACGACCTGCACGCGAAGTCGAGCACTTTACAATGGAACAGTTTAACGAGGACCAATACCGCACACCCTCGGTCTCTACGCAGGCTGATCCAAGTGGTCACCCACCCGCACACTGACCGTAGCCAATGATGCTTGACTTCGGTGATCTACCGGGAACAGTGTCTTAACGATCAGTCCACTGCGGGACTCGTATGTTTTTAAAGCAATTTAGTGATCATTTATTTTACACAAGAATATTAATACTAATTATATTCCTATGTTAAATTAATTTTTAAAATTAAATTTTTTTGTGCATTATAAGTAGTGCGTATTATTACCTATGTCCATCAACTATGAATTTATGGTGAAGAAAATAAATGGTGCCAGCCATTCAACCGACATTCTGGTACATAATGAAGGTTATTGATCTGGAAGTAAAACTGACAGGCAATGCATCCGGCAATTTAGTTTAAATAGCTTTAAAGTTACAATTTGGAAAAATATTTGACTACAGAAGCAGAAATTGTTTCAATTAGATTTGAAATATAAAGTTACTTTATTTTGAAATCTACTTCCTTGCGGTTGAGAATGTATTCTAAGTGGCTAGCTGTCCTCAAATTTAAATTTAATTTAAAGGCAAAGTATATTTGCAAGATCAACATTTGATTCACAACGATACAGAATTTTGATAGACAGCTTTATAGTAAGTTTTCCTGTTTGAGTCATTCCAAAACTTCTTCGGCAAATTACGATGTCTATCACAAACCTAACTCAAGATTAGATCAAAGGTCAATTACAAAAATCAAATCAGCTGTAAGCAACCTATTGAACTTTAAATTTGTACTGAAGAACAGCAACAAAATTCAGAAGTAAACGAAACGCTGGACACTTTACCTAATTAATAAACTCCAGAGAAAAACAAATTAACTTTCATAAGACATCACTTCAATATAGATACTATTTCACTATGCTGTCTTTTATATCCAATTTATTTAGTTTTAAATTTTAGGAGCTTACTACATATCAAGAGTGAATATTTAATAGATTAGAAAAATAATTAATAGCCGGGTGAGTTTAATTTTTTTTTTATTTCTTATTTTTTACTTCATAGCGCATTCTGTGATCTCAAATCTTAAAAATAAAATAAAGGACTTATGCAAGGCAAAATTTCTCCCAAAAGAGGGTTTTAAGCTACAAATTGTTTTGAAATTATAAATTGTTTCAATGAATATCAAACTGTAAAGAAAGGGGAACTGTAAAGAAATAATGTGTTTGTTATGGAAACATGTAGGACATTGTGACATGGCAGAGTTAAAGTGCAACAGTCACCATTTACTAAACGGGAAATCTTCGGGTGGTGAGGATCGAACTCTCGAGCTCTTGGACATGGGCTCAACGACCTGCCAACGACCTATGTGCAGGTCTTAAAACAGCTACTCTTGGCCCCTGAAACCAATTCCTTTTCAGCCAACAGCCATCAAGATAAAAAGCGGAGAGATTGGAAACAGTTGGATTGGAATTGGCTATCCGTTGAATGGCTGAGAGGGATGTTCTTGCATCAAATTTCGCCTCATTAAATTATTACTTATTTGAGAAGATAGTAACGGAAAGACATTTCATTAATTAAAAAGGAAAAGGTTCATTTAGATATGATAAAATGGAATTTTAAGTGTTGTTTTATACCCAAAAAAACTGGATATTACGAAAAGAAAACCCTTTGAAAATATTTTATGAAAATAGTTGTTAGAGAAAATAATAAAAAGCTTCCATGTTCAATGGGAGGGAAGTGCTCGAATACGTCATTGCTGTTTACTAACAGTTGTATGCATAAGTCATTTTATGCCATTAACTTCTCTATTTCGTATGATCTCATCATCAAAACAATTTTTATGAGATGAATAAAAAAGCTAAACTTTTATAAAAATTATCCTGAAGCCTAAATGTAACGAAAACTTAATAAGAAGAGAAAAGAAACTTTATTTAAAATGGCAAAGAATAATTTTAAAATGACCTGCATTCATTTGTGTATTTGCGTCTGTTGTCTTAACAATATTTTTGGCATGAAATATTGAATTACTATCAACTCTTTTTAATCCAGAAATCAGGATTTTAGTTTTTTTTTTTTTTTTTTTTGCTTTAACAGGTTTTGTTCAACTCTTTTATTGTAAGAAAATTATTAAAAATCTTGGTATATGAGGACATTTATTGTTCAATGGTGGTAGATATAAGGTATATATAAAAAGAAAATATTGTCACATCAATTGACAATTCTAAAAGCATTTCCTGTGAACTATTCTAGGGCCATAGTCATTATATTCTGCTCTTGTAATGCATATATCTTTGAAAGTTGAGAGCGATCCTAGGATTGAGCCTCCGAGCCACACGGCATACCTTCGATCGGCGGGAGCCCACACTTTCACTTTGCTGGAACACAATTCTTGCATTTCTCGGCGGAGGCGATTTGGCAAACCGGGAAACATTGTGTTGCCTCCAGACAATACGACATTCTTTAAAATATCCCTTCTAATGTCTACATCACATTTCATCACGGAATTGTACAATGAATCCTAAAGTTTGAAATTACAAAATTTTCAAATGGTTGAAATAAAATGTTAAGTTTACTGTTGTTGCAGTTGTTATAGTTCATTTACGTCGCACTAGAGCTGCACAATGGGCTACTGGGGACGGTCTGAGAAACATCCTTGAGGATGATCCGAATACATGCCATCACAATTTTGAACCTCTGCGGAGGGGATGGCACCCCTACTTCGGTAGCCCGACGACTTGCATGTAAAGTCGAGTACTTTACGGTAGAACTGTTTAACGAGGACCAATACAGCACACCTTCGGTCCCTACGCAGACTAATCCAAGTGGTCACCCACCCACACACTGACCGCAGCCAGTGATGATTGACTTCGATGATCTGCTGCAGTGTTTCCCAAACTTATGACTTTTGTGTACCCTTTCTAAATTTTTCGTAACGCTATGTACCACTAATAAAAAAAAATGATGTATTTTTTTTTTTGGTACAAAGTTTTGTTAATAAGTTCATTTGCATCAGTGAGAAGGATTATATTGTTTTTACTGTGATAACAGTTATAGGAATAAAAATTATATTTCATAAAAATAATCAAAATAAGTGGAATTTAGTACAAACCTTTACTATAAAAAATTTAACACATGTTAAAAATCACAACTGGTTGCTGACACCACTAATTATTAACTGTTAACTCTGCAAAAAAATAGAAAATAGAAAAATACGTAATCGTAAATTTTGATGGCTAGCTTTGTTTTTAAATAAAATTGCTTGAAAATTTTGTTTGTTGCAAGATATTTCGCATAAGAAAGCGTACCCCCGCTAAACTGTTCCCGTATCCATGGGGGTACGCGTACCATACTTTGGGAAACACTGATCTGCTGGGAACCATGTCTTAACGATCAGTCCACTGCGGGACGCGTATTGACAAAACATACCGTAGATTGTAAAAGGGTTGGCGAAAATTTCTATCGGCGTTGAAGGAGCGTCTCGCAAATCGCCAAACAGCTGTGTGCTTATGTTTTTGTTTTGTTTTTGGTATCACGTATCTATCATTCACCAAGTTACATATGGGTGTGACATTTCAGAGTTTCAAATAAGCTGATCTTCATTAGATTCTTCTGCATTAAATGAAATATAAAGCGTATTTTTTTGTTATAGCTCCGACATAATCGTTTGTATTTGTTAACATAATTGTGTTTATTAGCCATATTACGTCTATCATAGATATCTTTAAGACGTCTATACTTGTTGAGGATTTATAATACCAGATGGAGCTGAGCACAAACAATTTTTTTTATTATTTTTTTTCTGCACTTCTTAAGTTTCAGTTTAGATTTAACCTACTGAACCACAGTGGAATAAAATAATTTGAATCATTTCAATTTGTGTAATTATTGTTGAATTCGAGTTATGGTGCTACACCGGCCGAAAAATAGGCCACCTGCATGAAATATGAGTTAACATTTGTTTTGTTTTGGTCTCCCTTAAGTCGGTAATTTATTTTGATATTTTATTGTATTAATTGTATTGTATTTATTATAGTAACGTGCGAGCTGTTTATAATGGATGATTTTGAAAAATTAAAGTCCAAACGGGTTGTAATCAGACAGCTGATTACAAAATTAATAAATAAAATTGACAAATTGTTATTAGAAATACTTCCTGATGAGACCTTGTATGATTCACTAAATCAGTTAGTTGAAAAAAACGGAACTTTAAAGGATCTTGATTTGAAAATTGAAAATTATTTTGATAAAAGCGATGAATTAGAGAGTGAAATTATACAAAGTCAAGAGTATCAAGATCGAGTAGTGGCTTATAAAGGCAAAATTGAAAGATATTTACTGAAATGCCAGACTACAAGACAGGAAGTAACG